AAAAAAAAAAAGGGAAAATGAGAAGAAAAAAAATGGGCCAGAAAAGTTGATATGGAGTTTTTAAGTGACTTGGTTGTTTAAGTGGCAATATATTATATCATTATTTTGTCATTTATGTAGATGAAATTACTTACAATGACCAAATTTGGTACACTAAAAGAAGCTTAGTGATCCATGAAGTGTGGTAAAACTGTAGTTGTTTAGCAAAACAGAAAAAAGATAAAACTGTGGTAAACATCTACGAATTTTACTGTAGTTGTTTTCAATATAACTTGCATTCTTGATTGAAACTATAGTTGTCTTATCTAATTTAGAGGCCTTGAATCTTGATTGAAATTATAGTTATTCGCACATGGTCTAATTTATGTTGAGTTATTTTGTCTGACTGCTCTTTTGGAAGAAAGTATCATCTTTGTTCTCTCCTGGGACCTGATCTCTCATAAGAGTTTGTGTATTGCCTACTGACAGGTTGAAGCTCGGATATTTGTTCTTGCAGTTTTGCGAATGATCAAAGAGAACTATATCCTAGGTACAAAACATCCTCAGACTTAAACTAATAGTTCACAAATTTTACATAACTTATCTCAGGCAGGATAACACTACTGTTAACTTTTCTAAGCAGTCATAAATTGGTACATAAGTTGAGTCACATGAACGCAAATCCATGATCATGGTAACATCTTTTGAAGCCATATTTTGATGTTTCACTAAATTTTCTTGCAGGGCATTCTGTAAAAGATGATATGTTGATAATCTTAGGAGTCAGTGAAGCAAATGCAGCAAAGCAAAAATCTGAGGTGAAAGATGCAGTAATGAAACTTCTGCAGGAGGAATTGGGGCTTGAGGTACTATTGGTTGAACCTCAAGTTAAAAATGGACGGGTAGATTTGCAGACTCCTATTGATGCAGATCCAGTTTCATCAGAAACAGTTGGAATGAACAGTTTATTGTCGAAGCCCTTATCTTCTACCAGGAGACCTGTGATTCTGCAAAGGTTAAAGGTTACAAGGAAATCGTTGAATCATTGGCTCTGGAGAAGGGCAGATTTCATTAAAAGGTAAAGTGTTTATTTACGAACCTCAATTTTGTTTATAATTTTTTATAATCATTTTTCAAATAGATATGACGGAGAATAAGTGAGTGTAATTATTACTACTAAAGTTACAGCAAGTGTATAGAAGTTGTTCAACCACATTTAACTCAAAGTGGGATGAAATAAAAAGAGGTGATTTATTTGGTCCTACAGGTTCAATTCAGTTTTATATTTTGTTCCTCTTTGACTGTTGCAACCAATACAGGTTTTTACTCAGCATTTTCTACCATGTATTAAGAACTGTGTTCTTCAGAAAGTTAACTGAGAAACAAAACAGGACACTGATACTGTTGCAGTTGTAAGACCTTGAATCCTAAACCTAAAACATAAAGTTAATAAGGCTTTCAAATGCATATGATTTCTCACAAATCGTAACCATTTCAAATTTACTGCATCATAAAGATTGTTATAACGACTGATCCAGACCAGTCAACCAATAATTGAAAGTAAAATCTCAAGACATGAAATCCAAAAGATTGCTATCATTAATAAAGTAAACATTAAGCAATTTCCCAGTTCTCATACACAAAAGTTAAAACAACAAACTCCACAATCTTACCAAACCAGACTACACTCCTGCTCACAGCCAGTCCTGCTGCTGCAACTTCAATGGCAGATAAACCTCAGACAAGTACTGAAACCCAAAAGAACTCAGCGCCTGAATCTCAGCCTTATGCTTAGTCTTCACCATCAAATTCAACTCCTCAACCCACCCCGGATTCTTCTTCACAAAGTCCTCCTCCAACAAATCCTTCCCAGTCTTTAT